CCTGCATCCCCATGGCCAACATCTTCACAGCGGAGCCACTGGAACTGGGCCGGCCCAACACGCTGATCTGCCAAGTGGGCAATATCTTCCCGGCCTCGGTGGCAGTGTCGTGGCAGCACAATGGGGTGCCAGTGACTCAGGGGGTCAACACCACACCCTACAACATCAATGAGGACCTGGCCTTAACAGTGTACTCGACACTGCCCTTCACACCGCACGAGGGCGACGTCTATGCCTGCAACATCACTCGACAGCGAGAGCGCTTCTCCACCCTCACCTACTGGGGTAAGGCTGGGGAAGATGGGGTGAGGACAGAGGGGCATGATATGATGACACCCCGCTTTGACTCCTGGTCTACCCTGACTATAAACCAACTGCCCTGGTTGTTTTCTATTCCATTGTTTTTATGCAGGCAGTCGTGGGGAGTTGATGACTTCACGGTTTATTATAAATTTCCCGATTCCTGCTAATCTCTTCACTCCACAGGCATTAACTTCCCTCTCCCCTTGATATTCTGCTATTCCAACCATCCAGTCATCTGCAGTGTGGCTGTCTGTTAGCCCTTGATGGCCATATCTCTCTTTCATCGCGCCCCCCAGCAGGCTGGTTTATACCTGTAGCTTAAATAGCCTTCACTCTGGTGTGTTCAGGTTAACTCAGGTGTAGACGTGACTTTCAGTGAAGTGCTGGGGGTGCTGTCTAGATGCTCAAGAAGGTAAGATTTTGTTTTAGGAACTTGAATACAGCACACATGTTCAAATGAAAACCAAAGAGAAACCAGCTATAAAGTTGTTACATGTTTTCAGGCACTAACTTGGTAGCTGGTTGGCTCTTTTTATAGCTCGATGGACATTTTCATGACATGATCATTATTTTTCGTGTGTGGCTGGTCTACATTTATTGCACAATTGACCAGTGAATTGCATGAGCATTATTTTGCCCATGTGACCAGTCTACATTTATTGTGCGATTGTCTATTCATTGCCTGATAATTACTTTGCATACATGGCCAGTCTAAATTTGTTATGCAATAGACCAATTAATTGTGCAGTCATTACTTTGCCCATGTGCCCGGTCTCACTTTGCACATGTGGCCGGTCTAAATTTAATGAGCGATTCACCAGTGATTTGAGTAATATATGTAACTCATGGCCGGGGCCCGAGAGACATGTATTGTACAGTCATGACTACAGCACTAAATGAGACAATATTTTGTGACCCTTTTGACTATTTTTTGCTCAGTTTGTTGTGGTTTGTTTTAAAGTTTAATGCAGAACTTAGTAAATTTGTGCACATTCCACTAGATACATTTGTTTTGGGTTTGATCTCAAACTGAATCCTCTAGCACTAGAGCCAGAGTCTATGAGTAACACTTCTGCTTTCTCTTCAACTGGAAAAAAACATGTGCTGAGTTATATCCCAGAGAAGCCAGGCTGGAAGGGACCTGCAGAGGTCACACCTAGTCCAACCCCCTGCCCGAAGCAGGACCAGCCCAGGAAGATGCCATCTGCACCCCAAAATCTTTCCACGTACAAAGACCATCCCCTGCCCCTATCCCTCCCCTGTCTCATCCAGCTTGTTCTCCCCAGTGCCCCAGGACCCCATCCCATCTAAGCTGCTGGAGACCTCTATCTGTTACACCGCGATCGCCCTGGGCATCGTCCTTTTCGTTGCAGGGGTTGTTCTCCTCGTCCTGTTCCGCCGGCTCCGCAGTCAAGGTGCCCCCTGTCCCCTGGGCTCTACCTCCCCCTGAGAGGGGTGGCAGGGAGGGGAATGAGGAATGGAGCCAAGATGCCTGGGCACCATCGCCAGCTCTGGGAGGAGATGGAGGGTAAAGCAGGGCTGGGAGCCAGGACACCTGGGTTCTCTCCCAGCTCTGGAAGGAGAGTGAAGTTTTGGGGGGGTTAGAGCAGGGAGGTGCTGGGAGTCAGTTCTTTCCCGAGAGGGGATTGGGGTCTGGTGGGTTGGACCCAAGGGCTCGGGAAGCCCGGACGCCTGGAGTCTCTCCCAGCTCTGGGAGGGGAGCGGGGGGTCCTCACCCCTGAATCTCTTTTGCCTCTTTTCCCTTAGATGAAGCTCAAAGCAGCTGGTAAGAACTGACCCAACCTGCTGTGAGAAGACCCAGATCCCCTCCACCCATCCTGACTCCCCACCTTTAGGACCTCTGGGCCAGCAGCGGGGAGTTCAGACTAGACACTTTTGTTGCCTGCTGTGGGAACCCAGCGATTGCTGAGGAGATGGTGGCTGTCCCTACCTCCTCAATGGGGACTGGGAGAAACCCCCCATCCCCTCCTGCCTGGCTGGGCTCACCTCCAGCCCCAGGACATCCGTGCCTTGTCTTGTCCCCGTGACAATAAAGGTCTATTTTCTGGAGCTCTGTGGGTCTTCTTCACCTGGGTGCTCCCCTCCCCCCCCAGACTCAGCCGCCCACCTTGGGGGATGTCTGGGCTTTGTGCCTGTTCTCTTCTCTCCCCCCACAGACTTAGCCGCCCACCTAGGGGGAAGTGCAGTCTGTGGTTACCAGCTCCCCTGGGTGTGGGGCACTGCTACACGGCAAACTAGGCAAAGGCCTGAACAACTCATGACTCAGAGGGGAGCAATAGCCCTGGTGCAGGTGGCCCTGGGAGGGGACAGGCTGCTATCCCAGCCCCTCCTTGCCACGACACCATCCCCCCATCACACCCAAGGGGAAGTGCGGGTGCTGCTTTCAGCAAGCTGGTTTCACCTCCACCCCTCCCCGGCCCCCCCGACATTGGGGGCCAGGAATGGGGAAGCTGCAGGGACCGTGATTTCAGCCTAGGGAAGTAAAGTGAAATCTAGAGTGGGGGAGGGTGGGAGAGATGGGGCCAAGGCCAGAGACACCTCCCCAGAGACCTGCCAGCCCACCTCCATCACTGGCCTGTGTCCCAGTTAGGGTCAGGAAGACACTGCAAGGATATGGGGGGAGGGGGGGAATTTTGTAAGTAAATTGCTTAATGATCCACTTTGCCTAATTGCAAAGGAGCTTGTCAAACCTGGAGTGGGGACGGGGAAGGGAGAGGGTAGAGCCTCCCTTGCTCTCCAGGAGTCCCAGGTCCCCACCATGACTTTGCCACTGACTCCCCCCCATGACCCGGTCAAATCCCTTAACAGACTGTCACAGGTGGGGTGGGGGGCTTCCTACCTGCCCTGGGAGGGGGGGGGCCTGCTGGGAAAATAGCCACCCCAGAGGCAGACCAGGCCCCCTGAGGACCCAGCTCTGGTGTCCTGGCAAGACCCCCAAGACCTCCTGCTATGTCCTAACGTCTGGCCCACACCTGTCCTGAGTCCATTTCCCTGTTGAGGCCTGGGCTTAGCCGGCTTTACCTGGTGACTGATGATGCCCTGGGCTGCACCTGCTGTCATTGGGTGCTGGGCTGGTGAGGAGTAAAGTCTGGGGTGGGGGCATTGGGAGACACCAGGACAGGCAGACAGACAGACACAGGAACAGAGGCAGGGATCCCGCTGAGGAGGTTGCTGCAGAGGAGGGGATCTCGGGGGGATTGCACCCTGAAGAGCCTGGGATCTCTCCCCCCAAGCCAGGATGCAGGTGCTGTGGCTACTGCTGGCAGGGCTGAGCTGCCACGGAGCAGGGGAGAGGCAAAAGACATACAGC